GCTTTGTTGGTAATGCAGTGCTGTAGGTCATCCTTTGTGACCGATCCAGAGGAGATTGCTCCGGGCATCAGTAACAGAGCTTTACCCTTAAAGCTGCTTGTGTACTTGTGCCTGCAGAGACGCTCAGCGTGATTCCTGGCTGGCTGTCCAAAAAGTGTTTTTTTCATAGCAGGGATGGAGATGAGTCAGCTTCAGTGAGATGTACACTGCTGCAGAGGTGCTGTGTTCACTAGTTCAGATGGCATCAGTGATTGCTTTCTCACTCTGATTAGTGCCTAAAGTGTCAGAGTAGCCTGTAATCAATCACTTGAACAGGGCTTCAGGAAGCCCTTGTGTGAGCTTTTTCCCACCATTCAGTGGCTTTCACCTCCAGTCAGTTTTGGAAGAGACAGGAACCTCAAGCTCTAAAACAGTCTTTATCCTTCTTCACCTCAGTAAGGGTCAACTCACTGCAACTGCTCACCATGGTTCAGCCTTCGAGTAGTTTTCTCTTACCAGACGCTTAATCCCTTGCTGCTTAACTGACTGGGAAAAAGTTAATGCCCAGTATTGATTGTTTATTCCTTAAAATGAAAAACAAAGTATAAGCTTCTGCAGGAAACAATTTTTTCTTCATTTGACTGGGTGTAAGAAGTCAAAAAGGAATGCATAAAGTTCTTTGTATCTTGAAGTAGACATCCAAAGGGTCAGGCATTACTTGGATCACACCCTTTGACCGTAGAAATACTCTGGTTCCTTAAAATCTCCATGACTTCTTCCGTGCTTTCTTCACAAAGGCTAAGCAAAATGATTTTAAACAGAGAAGAATAAATTCTGTTATAAAATCACACCCTTAAAAAGACAAACCCCAAGGCTGGTCCCGAAAAGTAAAAAAAGTTAGTATTCCCTAACTAAGCTGAAAGGAAAATATTTTACCAATCTATGTAAGGGCATATCCTGAATATAAACTGGAATCTGTTTTTTAATTTGGAACCGAGTGAAAGCCTCTTGAAATTTGCTTGGACACTGGAGACTCAGGGATCTGTCTGCACGTAGCAGATTGTAGCATTGTGGCTTTTGTGTCATGATCTCACAATATCAGTTTGTGCACATTAAACAAATAAACAGATTTTCTTTGCTGATAATTAGCAAGGCATCAGATGGTGCAAGATTATTGTATTTTTTTCTAAAGGTAACTTAGGAAAAGGAAAAAAAGCACTGTAAGGAGGCATAAATCTGATCTTATAATAAGCAAACACCCTCTCATTCCTCATGGATTTTTATTGTGGATGAGGCCCTGAGCAACCGGATCCAACTTTTAACCTGGTCCTGTGAACTGTGTGCTACCTGACTTGAACTCCTTTATTACAGAAAATAGAAAGGATGTGGAGTTTTTTACCTTTTTTTTTTTTAACCCTATAGAGTTAAGCCCAATGATCAAGAGGAACAGCAGGTTGCCTTCGAAGTTCAGTTTTTCTGTGGCTGTGTTTGGTGCTTCCATTTTCATCATAACAGAATGGTTTGGGAGATGCAATTGTTTTCCTGACTTTTTCTGAGACAAATGTTTAAAATGGTCTCAGACTACGTGGGGAAAAACTGTCAGTTATGCATGTGTAATCCTTGCCAGAAAAACTTAATGAAATCTAGCTGCATGGCTAATTTTAGGGACACTTTAAATAAGTGGTTTTGTTTTTTGATTTTTTTTTTTTTAAAAACTATTCTAGTAGGTATGGAACATCTGGCCAAAACAAATGAAGACCCATTTGCATAACTCAGAGAACCCAAATGAAACAACATAATAAATTGATGTCCACATTCTTAACAGTTATTCTTGCAGTAGTCTACAACTATAATCCAAAGCACTAATGTATAGTGATGCAGGTTGGAAATGTTCTGTGCTACTGAAGTGGGAGAAAGAGAGTAATTTCTGTTAAACACTGTGGTAATCTCCAAGTCTGTGCTGCAAAGTACTCATAAATGTACCATTTTTCTGGCAGAATATTAGGCGAGGTTAAGCAGATACAATCTTCTGATACGAGTTCAAAGCAAGTATCCAGTGACTGGAAGTCCTCTTATATTTTATCTGAAGTAGAATTTGATGGCCTCTAGTGACTAAGGACTTCTCTCATTAATTTTTCTGCTTTGCAGGGCATGTGTCGTACCAATTTTCTTAAGTCTTTGTCACCTCCATCTTCACCTGGCTAAACTAATACTTACTTTTGGACTTGCACACCAGGTTCTGCAAGTTCCTGTCCTCCAATATCACTCATTTTTTCCGAACCTGAATGAGATGTGAGATTTTATTATGAATAAGTTAATTATCTAATAGTTTAACCTGTTTGTTTAACTTCCCATGTGGCCAGCTCTTTGATAAGAACAGGTTTTTAATAGGCCTAGACGAGCCTGCTACATTCATTTAAATTGTGATCTAGGCCAAGTCTGAAAGTAGGCTAATACCCAAATTCACTGAGCCAGAATACCCACAGCTATTAATTTGTAAAACAGTGTCCTTCAGAAGTTTTTCTGCTTGGCCCACTTTCTAAATTGGATGGCACACCTGATGATTTGTTACAGACAAAGAAATTTGGGGATTTTCATTTGTTGGATGCTATGTACTGCAGTCCCAGGCAGCACTGGGAAAGAAGAACAATATTTCGTTGGGCTTGAGTCCCTAGTTTATGTGCCTGGGCTAGAGCCCGTTAGAAATACGCATTCAGTGTTTCCATGTAGCAGTTCAGTGATTGTGAAAACTGGCAGATTGGTAGGAATGTGACGTCAGGTCTGGGTAGATGCACCAGCTGCAGACCCGGATAATGACAGCACATTGACACAGACCGTGGATTGCTTTTCACTGCTGGGAGTGGTAACGCCTTGGGGATAGCTAAACGCATTCCTGAGTGAACACGGTACACCTCATAAGGGTTGATCGTGGTGCTTCTCTTGATTCACGTAGCTGGTGGTCAATTTTCCGGGCTAAGAGGAAGGCGTGGACTGTAGGACAAGCTATATTTCTCTCGTGGTCCCATGCAGTGAAGGGAATTTTAACCTACCATCACATGTAGCTAAGGTTCTTATGCTACTGTAAACTCTGCTGTTGTTCATTTCTGTTGGTCTAAGCCAAGGACTCATTATATGAGATGTTTCTGTATGAAGGCTTGCAGGTTTTGCTCTAAGTTAGGCTACTTCGCTGTCCCTGAATCTTTGTTAGGTTTCAGAAATGCAAAGGGGTTAGTGAGGACAGGGAATCTTTGCAGACTGCAAAAATGCAGCAAATGCTCTATTTCTGTTTTGGTCTATTTGCATTTTAATAGCATGCCGTTGACTCGTTGAGAAGCTTGAAATGGCCAACAGAGACTCTGAAGCTTCTGCAGGAAAAAGAGAAGTTTTTCTGGAGTATCTGAAAATCATCATTACCATTCTTGAATACTTGATTGACAGCATTTTACTGTTCTTGTTTCTTTTTATTTCAGATTTAGGAGGCTTTTTTTCATGTATTTATATTTCACATGAGTGTCCTGGTTTCGTCTGGAATAGACCTAGTAGCTGGCATAGTGCTGTGTTTTGAGTCTAGTAGTAGAATAATGTTGATAACACACTGATGGTTTAGATGTTGCTAAGTAGTGCCTAGACTAGTCAAGGACTTTTTCAGCTTCCCCTGCTCTGCCAGGGGCACAAGAAGCTGGGAGGGGGCACAGCCAGAACAGGTGACCCCAACTGGCCAAAGGGCTATTTTGGGATGGGCTGGGCATTGGTCAGCAGGTGGTAAGCAATTGCATTAGGCAGCAGTTGTTTTGTATATTCTATTATCATTATTATTATTATTATTATTGCTGTTGTTGTTGTTGTTGTTGTTATTACTACTACTACTATTACTATTACTTTTTTTCCCTCTACTGTTTTATTAAACTGTCTTTATGTCAAACCTACAAGTTTTACCTCTTTTTCCCAATTCTCTTCCCCATTCCACTGAGGGAGGGGGACAGTGGGTGAGCCGCTGCATGGTGTCCAGCTGCCGGTTAAACCACAGCAGCAAGCCTTTTCCTTGCAGCGGAAGTGGTTTGTGCATGCTGTGATCTGCAACACTTCAAAAATAACAGGGTTTTTTCCCTTCAGTTAGTCTGATAGAGAGAGGGGCTATTCTAGGAGGATTCAGCCCAGCCATGTTTGTCATTTAATCAACTTGGAGTTTGAATTGGGATGGCTGGGGACATGTAGGCCTGCAACCATTGTATCTAATTAAAATACTTAACTGGGACACTTCATGTGGGAGCCTAGTCACGTCAATCCCCTTAATAGGGTCAATGGATCTCCAAAGGGCAGTTCAAACAACCTAAACTCTCCAAAGAAGGCATCTGACATCTATGCTCCTTAGACTTAAGTGGGATTAGTTTTGGCCTCAACAGCCAATAGTGGGTGATGACCGACACACAGGAGCATGGCACTGCAGTCTTGCAGAGCAATGTCATTGCACTGTATCCCCCATGAAGAGGAATTTTCTTCATGGATTTATTCCAAGCCAAGACAATAGGAAAAGGCTGAGCACATTGCAAAGTGCAATTGGCACAGTGGAATTAAAGTGGAAAATTTTTATTTGTACTTGCAGTGTCTGTGACGAGTCCTCTTTCTACTTTGTCTTGTAGGCATAACTCCATATCTTTGTGGCTGCCGCTTCACAGTGTGTGAGATGATAGATAAACACTATTCAGAACCACAGTGAGCATCTACTGCTAGGGGTCTTGGACAGCACAAGCTATGCTATAAACTGTGACTGCTGGGTACAGCTATGGAATAATATGGAGGAAAAGGCTGAGCTTGATTTTTCAAGCTTCTCAGATTAACCTTTGTGGTTTATTTTCATAATAAAGGCTTTTAAAAAAAATCGTCTTTAAAATTGCTGTTGATTGACCTAATGTGAGCTGCTGTAGCTGACTGGGAAAGTTTATCTCAGAGTGTAAGTCCCAAATAACTGATCTGTATCTTGACTCACAAGCCTTTAAAGCTTCATTTCTGCATCTTCTCAGGTACCTCCTGGAGGAAGGTAAAGGAAGGAGAGAACAAGAAAGCACCATGTCTTCAGTCTCAGCTTATTACAATGGAAAGACCGTACTTATCACAGGAGCTACAGGTTTCATGGGCAAAGTACTGGTGGAAAAGCTTCTGCGCTCCAGCCCTGATGTAAAAGCAGTTTATATACTCGTCAGGCCAAAGGCTGGACAGTCAATGCAAGAGAGAGTGGCCAACATGTTGAAATGCAAGGTAAGTTTCTATATTTTATTGTAGACTCTAATCTGAAATCCATTTAGCTGGACGAAGTAAAGGACTTCAGTTATACTCAATTCATGAAGAACAAAATACCATCTCCTACTGCAACTGTTGTGCCTAAAACAAACAAACAAAATTGTACAAACATGAATGAACCTGGATCTGTCTTACTTTGATAGGTAATGCAGGATTTTGCACTGTAGTGATGTAGTTCTTCTTTTCTGCACTGCTGTTTGTTGAGAATTATTTTTTTCAAAAATATGCTACCTTAGCAAATTTCCTTTTTGCAATAAGACCAGCATTTTGCTTTCATGAACTAACTCTTTTCCTTCACCCACTTTCAAAACATAATGTTCGAACATTCAAAAATAAAACTGTCAGCCTATCGCACTCAACTCCTTGACCTAATTGGGGCATTAAACTCATTTCATAAGACAAAGCCTAGTGGCAAGGTATAGTGGGGCTGTGCATTGCTGCAGTACAGTAGGGCATCTGCCATCTTCTGATGTCAGCTCCAATTTAACCTTACTTATGAAGTGATAAAATGCTGTTGCATTTGAAAAGGGTGCTTTCCGAAGTTCCTTGCAGCAGAACACAAAGGCTAAGGCAGCCCTGTGAATTGGAGATCAGACCTGTATGACCTCCACCCATGTAGCTTGTTTCAGTGAGGAAAAGCAGATCTTTAGTGTCAAGAAGGATGTCAAAGCCCTTTGCTGTATTGAATGTAAAGATTTGTAAGGAGACACTGCTAGACCAGTTATCTAGAGTGGACTTAGCATGAGGACCTGGAGGTTCTCAGGAGATTAGGCCCATGGTGAGGTCATGAACTTGCTCAGACTCCTCCAGCTATGATAAGTGCTAGAGTTTAAGCTAATTCTTACTGCTACTGTGAATTTGTGTATAGCCTATTGGAAATGAGGGGAGGGGACAGACTAGCCCTAGTAGGGAAGGAATTACTTGGAACTAATCCGAGAAAGGTAAACGTATCTTTAGAGTATTGGTCTAAAACTTTGAACAAGGCTTGATGGGGAAAGTACTTCCCTTAGCTCTACTGAAGTTAGAGGTAAAATAGTGCTGTACATAACTTAGAGACAAGCGGGTCTTGGAGAAGGCTTGTGCTTTTCCACCTAATGTTCTGTTGAGGCATCAAGATAGAAAATCTTAAGTATGTCCAACAACGGAGTTTGATTTTTTTTGTGTTTTCAACAGCAGGTACTTTTTTTTTCCTGTTCAGGAAAATTTGTAAGTGCCATAAATGAAACTATCACATTGGTCACTTTTTGCAAGTCTGTCAAGTGCGCAATTTTCATTGCTTTCCTTTAAATGAACATTTTCCAGCTGTTTCTACAGCTTTCATTACTGAAGTCTGTGGGTAATGGTTTTCGTCATCAAACAACAAAATCCCTGATGTGGTGTGTTTGCACGGTTTTTTGCCTTTTTTTTTTAACCCACTAAAAAAATGGCAAACCAAGCTATTTTTCAGGACTTCCATAAGCTTTGTTTGCATTTTCTATGTGAATATTACTGGCTTATCTCTTTAGTTGGCCAGCACAGCTTAGTGGTGGTGTTAGCTCTAGGTGAGTTTCCCTAATAGCTGTTTTATTGTTGCAGCTATACTAAATGTACCCTTTTTTTCCAAGCATGTGTCAGCAGTTTTAGACATGCCAACAGCAAACTGGACTTGATAACCTCTCATTGAACCTTTGGCAGCCTGCTTCAACGTGTTTCAAATGAACAGAAGAAGGAAGCAAGTCTCTAAGTTAGGTTACTGCAGCCTTGGAAAGAAAATAACTCTAGGGGTATGCTCACGACTCATTCAGGTCCCCTCAAAGAAAAAGGTGTCTTTTTGATGCTGCTGTTCTTAAAATAATGCAAAAATACTTCCCAACTCTTAAAAGGTTATTTCCATGTGAAAATGTTGACAGCCTTTGGGTTTTTTCTAGAAGTGAAACTGTTAATTCCAGTAACTGTTAATTTCATGGCAGATGAAGAGGGCAAGAAACACGATTCTTAAAATTTTTGCGGATTGTTTCCACTTAAGTTTGGTGTATGTCTTTAAGCCACATAATCGGTCACTCACAATCCAGAGGCTACGCTTTCCATTTACAGTTGTGATTTGCATTCTCCAGTTTGGGAAACCCCTCAGCTATATAACAAATAAAAAATGCAGCAAAATCTTATTCCAAGTCTTAAGGCAACATTTGCATTTGACATTCCTGATCATAATCTCTGATGAAGAATGCGTATATTTGAGGATGAGCAGGAAAATTCAGAATAAAATCCCTTCTCTTCCTTTTGTGTACATATATAATTTCTAATCTCTACTACATAATTGTTCTTTTCCCCCTCAAACTGTTGGATGTAATGCAATACAGTATTTGTATCTGGTTTTAGGAGAAAATACTTTATTTCTACTTCCGTATCCTACCCTATGTACGAATGTACTTTACTTTGAAAGTAACTCTTCTTTTATGTTATGCCTTAACCCAGTATTATCCTCGGGAATTTCTCATTTTCACTTCCAGAAAGGAGGTTTCCCAGGAACCAGAGGAACAGAGAAAAACAGGTTGCCAGCTTCTAAATATTCTAGACAAAGACAAAAATAGTATTTGGGATGGAATAAGATGAAAGTAGAGAAGTAGATTGGCAGGAATTAGTTGTATTGCATAATGCTTAGGTTCTTCAGGTAAGGTCCTCTGGGGACTCCTGATTTCTCGTAGTACTTAATATTTTGAAAGAAATTGCCTATCATTTTCAGCCTCTCTTCATATATCTCTTAGCACAATCTGTGAAATTTTTGTGATTTCTATCATATCTACAGCAATTAAACATTGAGACGTCACATTTATGAACTGCCTTGTTCACAGGATGTACATATGAATATGCTGGAAGATGACTCCTCTTAAATAAAAAAGCAATTTTAACAACAGGGTGATGATGTGTGAAGGGGCAAAATTACTTAGTTTGTGCTTTTAAAAAGTTTCTTATCTGGAATTTTTCAAATTCAGAATCCAACATAAAGAGTAAAATATAAAAAATAATTTCGGCATAAATCAGAATTCTTCCACTGTGTTCTGGAGTAGCTGAACATATGGCATTGAAATGTAATATAATGCTGGTTTTCCTCAGATCTTGTAAAGTTATTTTTACATGCAAATATGTTATTGCATTAATACAAAACATATAATGAGCAGATACTCAATTATCTCAGCATCAACTCCAAAATGAACATGTGCGTTGAGGAATGTGTGGTGCGTGGTGACCTTGCCTATTTATGAAAGGAGATGTTCTATTTTCCAGCAGCGAGTCCCTAAGGGAATCAAACTATTACCCTGTGCTTAATGAAATGCCACGTCTGCATGGCACAGACGTATGTAACAGCGCAGCTGTTACACAAAAAAACACATTTCAGTATCAGCTTCACGCTGGATGCATCCATAGACGTGGATCACAAGGCAAAGCTTGACAGTGCTGTTTTACTTGTTAGTTGATGGGAGATGTATACTTATCAGAGGTAGGAAATAATTTCAACTACTATTTTTTGTTGTCTGATCCCACCATGTGCAGAAATAGGCAGGCATGCTTGGAGGGGCTGTCTCAGATTCCCTGGAGAGCAGTTACTGGGCTGACGCTGAGTCACTGGTTGTAGCTTTCACATTGTCCCAGGGAGAGCAGAGATTTTTTCCATGCCCTGCGTGCAGTGAACCAAGGCTGCTCAAGGCTGCCAGGCTGTTTCTCAGATCTATTTGTTCCGTGCTCCTAATTAGAAAGATCAGTCAAAGCGGGGAGTGGAAAAGACTTGTTAATGTCTCCAATAATTCAGAGAGAAAATGGGGAGGTTGTGAGGCTGCTGAAAGCAGGGGGGAGCAGTGGATGGCACAGATAGACCTTCTTCTCTTCCCTGCAAAGCTTTGTCTGGAACCGCACATGATGATGGGACTGACCACTGAAAATAGCAGAAGTCTGATGTTATGGGATACCTTTGCATCTTCAGTATTTCCTTGTCAAGTGTGCTGTGCTTCTCAGCAAGTATACAGCAAGACCCTCTGTTAGCCCTATAAATTTCACCAAATCATGCCAGATTTCTCTTTTTTCACCTCCCCTGACTATGGCTTTCTCAACTCCCTTGCTCACATGTCTTGCTCATCACCATAAGCGGTAAAGGTTCTCTGTGACACACCAGTGCGGTGTCACTCCCTTTGGAACAGTGTCCCCTAAATCTGCTACAACCACTGCAGTGGTGCATGGATCAGTACTTGGAACAGAGTGGTTTTGGTTGACAGAACCGGATTCCACTTGCTCAGTAAGAGGTCTGGAAACTGCTAATTGGAGTGAAACAGAGCTGAAGATGTTTTCTGTTTTATTATTTCTTTAGATTTGCCTCACTTTTGTCAATAGATTATCAAGCATAACTCTGGTATTAGTGTACCAAAGGACCAAATCTCTCATTTTAGCAAAAACTTGTTTCTTACTTGACCCCGTGATTTGTAAACCATGTGGTAGAGAGGAACTAAATCTTAAGCACGGTAACATAACTGACAAAAATGCAGGCAAGGGTCTTGAACCATTCTGTGCCTCTTTCCAAAGCTAGCACCAGCTGCTGCCTTGTTCCATTTAATTTCTCTTCTTTTCTCTCTTCTGTTTGAAGAAGGCTGGTAAGGTTTTGCCTTATATATTATCAGCTAATAGCCTGCTTCCTACAGCACAAGGAAGGGCCAACAAGACAGCTGGTGCTTCCAGCAAGATAACCTTTCACACTGCATGAAAAAGAAGCCACTGTTAATCCTGAGCTCAAGACTCACTCACACGTCCCCGGTGTCACTTTTTGCTATTGGATGTCTGCAGCCCTGCTATCCCTTGGCTCTAGGTTCTGCTGAAACATGGGCAAAGTGCAATGGCATTTCCTTTTCTGGGTGCTGCACCAAAGCTGCAGCCCTGTATGGTGACAGTTGCTCCTCTTCTGATGGGACATCCAACCCCTGTCATAACTCAGG